GGGGCGGTGCCCCAACTCCCCTATCGGCCCTACTCTGTGAGTGACAGGGGGGAGCTCCTCAACCCCCTGATTGGCCCTGCTCTGTGCGTGACAGGGTACAGAGCCCCAACCCCCTGATAGGCCCTGCTCTGTGCGTGACAGGGGGCAGCGCCCCAACCCCCTGATCGGCCTTGCTCTGTGCGTGACAGGGGGTGGCGCCACAACCTCCCTATCGACCCTGCCTTGAGTGTGACAGGGGGCGGTGCCCCAACCCCCCAATCGGCCCTACCCTGAGGGTGACTAGGGGTGGCATCGCAACCTCCCGATCTGCCCTGCTCTGTGCATGACAGGGGGTGGAGCCCCAACTCCCCAATCGGCCCTGTTCTGAGCCCGACCAGGGGCTGCACCTAGGGATTGGGCCTTCCCTCTGCCACCCGGGAGCAGGCCTAAGCCAGCAGGTCATTATCTCCCGAGGGGTCCCAGACTGCGAGAGGGCACAGGCCGGGCTGAGGGACCCCCTCTCCCCCTTGAGTGCACAAATTTTTGTGCACCGGGCCTCTAGTAGAATATATAAGAATTGAAAGGACTGAGTAATCCATCAACTGGGTAATCAACCTCTGAGCAACTAAAAATTGGCTGTGATTTCATGCATTACTATTGGGCATTGTTTAGCTCTCACTTGTTTACTACTGATTGAATTAAAGTTTGAAGTGAAATGCTTTATATCTCATTTCTAAACTCGTGACCTCATGAGATTCAGATATGATAAAACAACAATGAGAAGTTAAAAATCAAGGTTAGAAAAAAGTATATTTTTAACCTGTAATCTTCTAAAATGGAGAAAAGCAATTATAAGAATTTCAAGAATCAATATAAATTGATGTTTTATACCAAAGAAAACTTAAGACCGTGAGTACTGCTCTCCCAGCATCACTATACAAATAAAAATAAATCGATAGGTCTAGAAACATAAGCTAGTAAAGACATCTAGCAACTATTTTTGATACTAAAGGGATTGTTAAGTATTGTAATCCAGAAAATGTATGTAATTAACCATAAGAAATTATATTTTTAATTTAAAAATAAGTTTTCTTTTTAGTATTCAGATCTTTTATGTACTTCATTATTTCATTTTGAAAAATTAATTGTTAAGCATGGATTTTACAATAACTCTTTGTGTGGTTTCTAGCTTGTAACCTAGGTAGTTTTTAAGGCCCTTTCCATTAAAAAATATGTAATTCTATATTCAAATACTATTAACAGACTGTCAGACTGTATTTGGCCAATTTCCTATCTCCTGGATAATCTTTTAGCTCCTGCAGTAGGAGATGTAATCAAATGGTTTTGAAGTGGTTACTAAATATAGGATTTGTCTGAGCCAGTGAAGACAACAGGTGCATATGGGATTTTGAAACTGAATCTGAAAAACTTGAACTTGAAGCTCAGTTTGGGGTATTAAAGAAAATGTTACTTGACTGAAGTAGTGAAATTTTAGGAATCTTATATAAGGATAAAATTCAGGAACAAAGTAATTTTTGTGTCCTAGTGTTAGGGGCAAAAATAGAGTATGATGTTGGCTTTAAAAAGTAGTTAGAGTATTTTTACAGAGAAAAGAATAGAAATAATTAACTTATCTAAGGACATGGTTTCTTTTTTCCACTTCTGGAATATCACTTCTTCTCAGTGAAGCTGTTCCTCAGCTTGGCTTTATGTCACTTAAGTCAGGGTTTACATATAATTTTAAAGCAAGGAAGGACTTTAAAGTTCCTTTACAGATCTCCCTCATTCTTACATTTCTTGCAGTTTATTCATTGTAACACTGTAAATGATCTTATCTTTGTATCTGCAGTACCTGGCACAAATTCTAGCAGGTATTTGTCAATATTTGCTAAATTAGCTTAGATAACTTAATCTGCATTAATATTAGTAATTCAGAATATCATTAATAAGGTTTGATGGTTCTTAGTAATTTTAGCACTTAAATGTCACCAGTGATTTATTTTTTAACTTTTTTTCTCTAACCAGATTTGCATCTGCTGGTGATGATGGACTTGTAGTTGTGTGGAATGCCCAGGTGTGTATTGATTTTGTGTGGATTGTGTAATAAAGATATGACTGTATAGTTGAGTATACATTCATAAACACTATCTGGGGATATATCTGCATATTAGTAGACAGACTAATTAATACTTGAAAAGGCATACTTGGGAAGATTTCATTTAAATTGGGAGCCAATATTTTATAGTAGAAACTTTTTTAATGAAGATTTTTTCCTCAGAAACAAATACCGAGATGTGAAAATAAAATTTTAATCTTACCGAACAAAACTTACCAGCAACTATGTAATGACTCTGAAAATGAATCAAGTGTTGATTTTTGTGGCAATTTTTCTTTCAAAGTGATGATTACATGATGTAACATGCTCCTCATGTTTGAATTTAATAGCAATATAATAAAAGGCTTAATTAAAAAATATTTAAAGCTTAACCAAATTTCTCTGAGACCTCTCTTCCTGATCCTTTGATACTCAGGTTATTCTCTTTTGAAGTATCTATCTTCTCTCATTGTCTGATCTGTCAGATCCTCATTTTTCAATGGCTTTGCCTGTGATTAAAGGACTTCTTTAACATGTTCCCTACATTCATGAAATCTTGTAACCTTGGAAAGATTTGCAATTTGTCATATTTACATTGTTTTTTATAGTATGTTTATTACTTGGGAAGTCCATGAGAGTCTCATGGGTGGGAATATCTGTTGCTATTAAATAGAGGTGGAGTGGAGGCTAACTTTATGAGTAGTTGATACATTATTGGATATAGGTATTTGTTGTTGTTATGCTGCCTTTTTTCCTTTCCACAACTGTATGACTGTGGAGACTTAAATAACAAATACTTGGATAAGGAGCTGACTTTTTTTTCTTCCACAGCTTTATAACTGTGGAGACTTAAATAACAAATACTTGGATAAGAAGGACTATCTATTTTTTCCTACAGATTAAGTTACTGATATTTTTATGCTTAATTTATCCAATTATATTCTTAAAATCATATGGAAAGAATATTCCTTTAAATTTTATATGAAATATGCTAAAATTTGTATTATCTATCAAAAAATACTTAAAATTGTTTATGGCTAAGTAATTTCAAATAGAATGTATGCATTTTCTACATAGTGTTTCTTCTTAGTGTTGTTAAAGTTATTTAAGTTGTGAAATAATGAACCTGTTCACATTTTCATTGGTATTTCAGACAGGAGAAAAACTTTTGGAACTCAATGGACACACTCAAAAGATAACAGCTATTATTACATTTCCTTCCTTGGAAGTATGTGAAGAAAAAAATCAGCTCATCTTGACAGCCTCTGCTGATAGAACAGTTATCATATCCTTTAGTCTGGAAGAGAGTGAAGTAACTATCGTGACCCAAGGGACTAGTATATACATTATTAGTCTTTAGGATCTTGGGGCCTGTTTGCACATTCCTGTTTTAGCAAAAATGATTTTGTTCTAGCTTTCATAAAACACTTCTTAAAAGCATTAGGCATCTGAAAAGTATTAGACTTGAAATAGCAGGTTAAGGTGTATTATTGATGGAAACCCCATGACTAAAACTGTTCTTTCTAGAGTTACTATTATATAAAATAGATGAAATGGAGAAAATGAGCTTAAAAATACTTAGTATCTCAGTTTGCTTTTCAATTTAGGGAAATAAAGATCAGTTGGACTGGAAAATAATTTACTTTGTTTTTTTTTTTGAGAACCCAGTCTGACAGAAAAGTGAATTGCCATTGGCTCAGTGTTTAATATTACTATTTAGTATTTAAAAATAAAATTTAAAAAGTATGTTACCTTTCTTTCCCCCTTACTTTTAGGTAAAATTTTAAAATGTAATGGCATTTTATAAATGCTTACATGTGCCACACATTGTTCTGTTTTATATAAATCCATTTGATCCTTACAATAAGAATTTTTGTTCTCATTCACAGATATTAGAGGCAAAGAGAGGTTAACTTGTCCAAGGTTATGCAGCCAGTATAGGGCAGAAGGTAAGCAGTCTGACTGCAGAGCCGAGTTCTGAACCACTAAATAATAATACTGCCTTTTAAAATATTTTCCTTAGCCTGGCCAGTGTTGCTCAGTGGTTGAGCATTGACCAATGAACCAGGAGGTCAAGGTTCGATTCCCTGTCAAGGCACATGCCCAGGTTGCAGGCTCGATCCCCAGTAGGGGGCATGCAGGAGTCAGCTGATCAATGATTCTCTCTCATCATTGATCTCATTGATGTTTCTATCTCTCCCTCCCTCTCCCTTCCTTTCTGAAATCAATAGAAATATATTTAAAAAATGTTTTCTATAAACAAATTTAGCCCTTTAATCTTTCTATGAGGAATTTGGATTTGTGAAGGCCATAGCCAAATGCTATGGATAACTGTAATCTCTCATGACCTTTTTTTTTAAGTTATCATAGATTACCTTTAAAAAGTCTATGCTCTTTGAAAATTCTGTTTAGCTTCAAGCATTAGTGAAGTAAGTTTCAAAGTAAGCTCAAAGGAGTCAGTGTTACTCAGGCTTCTGTAAAACATATACATACTTGATGAAACTTAAACAAGCTTTTCAGCTAAAGTGATTTCTAGACAGGTTGCCAATAGGTGAAAACATTTTAAGAAAAGATTTCAATGGTGATAAATTGTGAGGGGATTACAGTATTATGTAAACAAGGGCATAAAATTCACTGATTTTTAGGTCAGGTTAGCGTTATTGCTACTGCTCTATTGAGACAAATTATTTTATGGACTAAAGCTCTTTTTTTATTTGTTTTCAGTATCAGTATAACCTCTGCAAAAGTAGAATTTAAAATGCTTTTTTATTAAATGATTTCTAAAGTACTACTTAGAGGCAATTATTAAAAATTACTGTTACAGTACAGTACAGAGATGAGTAGATGGGACAATATCAGTATAAACTGTACCTGTAAATGATGGTATAGACTCATTTCCTTTGCTGAATGACTTTGTTGAAAATAATTCCAGGGTGCTTTGCTGGCAGTTCTTTTACTCAGGTGAATTCTAAATTAACTCAGCTTGGGCCTTCTCTATTAACTAAAACTTCATTAATTAAATGCTCAGTGTAGATTTAAAACAATTTTGTCAAGTGATAGTCTTAAAAGTTTGTATGTACATATATATATATTTATACATATTATATATATTTATTATGTGAATGTGTTTTCAGATATGATGTAAAATGTGTATCTTACCATAGGAAATGGTGTGAAAAATTTGAAAATCATCATACTCCTTAGGTTAAACTAACCTTGGACATTTTATGAGAGGTCCTCTAATTATTTTAAATATGTATACAGGTAATAGGAACACACTGTTACTATCTTTTTTAAATCAGGATAACAGTAGTTAATTATGTCATACACATTGAGAGAGCTTTTCAGTCAATATGGTGGACTATTTTGGAGAATAAACAAAATTTAAACAGTTGCAATATTTAATGTCTATAAAGATTCAGTTTTCAGACCACCCTTTCTGTTGGCATTTTCAAATAGTTTGACAGTAAAATTTACCAGAAAATTATTTTAGGTTGTAAGCCTACTGTGCTAAGTTGATGACTCAATATTTTATGCCTTATTTTCTACCTAAATTTGTGACATTTGTGACTTAATTATTGGAAAAGTTATAAGATTTGAAATGTTTAGAAATTATTTCTTAACATAAATTTAGTTATGGAATTGTGATACTGGCAGGCAAGTTCAAAAAGTGTCATGCTTCCAGTCTACTGTAAAGGTAAGATCATAAGCCGATATTTTATGGTAAAAATTTTTTTGTCTGAGAAAAAACTGTTAAGTAAGTTTGATGAAATTACTTTTGTAGGTTTAAAAAATTATTTCTTCTTGCCCTAGCCGGTTTGGCTCAGTGGATAGAGCCTGTAATGATTCACATTACAGTAAAAGCCCTTATAAAGTACTTTTAGTTGGCCTGCGGACTAAAGAGTCCCAGGTTAGATTCTGGCCAAGGGCACATGCCTGGGTTGCAGGCTCGATTTCTCCCCCAGTAGGGGATGTGCAGGAGGCAGCCAATCAATGATTCTCTCTCATCATTGATGTTTCTATCTTTCTATCTCTCTCCCTTACTCTCTGAAATCTATTAAAAATATTTAAAAATATTATTTCTTCCACACATAGTTACAGTTATTTTATTCTTCTAAGATTAGATTTTTGGAAGTATATATTTCAAATGCTAGAATGTTTGAATTTGAACTTACAGCAAGCAATAAATCTCTATAGCAAGATAAGGAAAAAGGTAATACCTAGTATGTTTTTAGTAAGTAATTATAAAAAGAGGCAATCCTTGCAGAATGACTCTATAGCAGTAGTTAGTATGTTTCTTTACTTTGAAATAAAAACATGGAATCATTTGTCCCTCACACTCTGCCTTCTGTAAAGTCATAAAGATAAGATATGTTTACAATAGCCAAGATCTGGAAACATCTCAGGTGACCATCAGTAGATGAGTGGATAAAAAGATGTCCATTTACACAATGTAATACTATGCAGCTGTAAAAAAGAAGGAACGCTTAACCTTTGTGACAGCATGGATGATGGACCTGGGAACTTATTATGCTAATTGAAATAAGCCAGTCAGAGAAAGACAAGTATCACATGATCTCACTTATATGTGGAATCTAATGAAAAAAATAAACTGACAAACAAGATAGGACCAGAGGCATGGATATATAGAACAGACAACAGACAGATCTCAGAAGGGAGGTTTGTGAGAAGACTGGAAGAGATTAACCAAAGAACATATATGCATATGTGTATAGCCCATGGACAGAGACAATAATGTGGTAATGACCTGGTTGGTGGGGGGGACCTGAGTGGAGGGAAGCAAAAAGATAGGGAAAGGGGGACATCTCTAATAGTGTCAACAATAAAGAGAAATAATTAGTAGGATACATTATTCCTAAAAAAATGTCAGTTACTTAGTTCCAAAACAAAATGTTATGGGGCTAATTGGTTGCTACTGTTAGGTTCATTCATTTTACAATTATTAATTGGGGCTTATTACATGAAAGGAACTCTGCTACATGTCGGAGAAACAGACTTGGATAACACTTGGTTACTTTGATTCCTACAGAAGAAATTAACCTTAAATGTTCTCAGAAATGTGTCTTTCAATAATGTGAGCAAGTTTGGAGAAAGATGCTAGTAAAATGAGATGTTTCCTCTTGCTTTAAAGATAACTGATCTCTAAATTGGAGCCAACACTTAAGAAAAAAAAAAAGAAGAAGAAAGAAAAAGAATTGCTGTGTGCCAATTGTCAATATATTCCTGAAAGGCAGCATCTCTGGTAGCCATCTCATGCTACTATGCTCTTCTAATTATCAATTTAGTAAAGTTTATGGGGAAGAAAGTGCCATTTACTGTATGCTCTATCCAATTTAACAATGTACTGTCTTTGAAGAAGCCATTTAAGTATTGACTTGATCATATCTCTATGCTTTATGTGATCTGAAAGACACCTCTTTTAAATTCCTTAAAAAATACTCTTGTTTTCTGTCTGAGCTCATTAGGTTTCAGATGAAACACCTGAATTGAAGGAACAGGGAAAGAAAAAATTTAATGTATTGGGGAAATTTCTTTGGTGAGCTGTTTTATGAACTGTTTAATAAAAAGTGCCTAATTCCAGTATGGTGAAAGTACTTTATAAGGGCTTTTACTGTAATGTGAATCAGCTAGACAGTTGTATTTACTCCTGCTAAGAGTTTCACATTAAAAATCGTTAAAAATAGCATTTTACTCACTTTAGTTCAGTGGTTAAAACTGTTTTTGAGCATGCTTTATTAAAGAAATTAGGATCCCTAATATAAGAAATACTGTTTATTTTTTGAACTAGTAAAGTTTTTATAAAGGTTGATATTAGCAAGGAGATGGTGAAATTGGCATTTTAATTTCTGTTGAGAGTATAAATTGATATGATCTTCTAGAAGGTAGCTTGTCATTATGAATGAATCTTAAAAAAAAAGATTACATGAATTGACTCAGTGATTCAACTTCTAGAAAACTCTTTAAAGAAAATAATAAACATGGGCAGAGATTTATGAACAGAAATGTATATTGCAAATATATTTTATAGATGGATGATTGGCAGTATCCTAAATGTCTTATAGGAAAGTAGTTAAATTATGGTAGATATATATGTTAAAAATGATATTTCAGAAGAATACACAAAGAGTTTGGAAAATTCTAATAAGATGTTAAGTAACAAAAGCAGTAAATGAAAACTAAACCTAGTAATGAATAAAAAGGGTTATATACCATGACCAAGGGAGATTTATCATAGAATATGAGTTTAGTTTAACATTTGAATATTTAATCAATGTAATACACCATAGTAAGAATAAAAGACAAAAAACATGATCATCTCAATAGATGTAGAGAAAGCATTTGACAGACTCCAACACCTCAATAAACTAGGAATAGGTGAGAACTTCCTCAACCTAACAAAGGGCATCTATGAAAGCCCCACAGCTAACATTGTATTAATGGTGAATGACTGACTGAATACTTTTCCCCTGAGATCAGGAACAAACAAGGATGTCTACTCTTGGCATTTCTATTTAATGTTGTACTGGAGGTTCTGACCCAGGGCAATTAGACAATAAAAGAGAGAAGGCATCCACATTGGAAAGGAATACATAAAACTATGTAGAAAAAATAACTATATAGAAAATTCTATATCCATAACAAAACTATTAGAGCTAAAAATGGATTTAGCAAAGTTTTAGGATACAATTCAGTATACAAAATTAATTGTATTTCTATATACTAGCAGTGAACATTCAAAAATAAAATTAAGAAAACAATTAATTTACAGTAGCATCCAAAAGAATAATATGCTTAGAAATAAATTTAAAGAATAGGTGACTTGTACACCAAAAGCTACAAAACATTGTTGAAAGAAACTAAAGAAAATCTAAGTAAATGAAAAGACATCCCATATTCATGGATCAGGTTTAATATGGTTAATATTGCAGTACTACCCTATCTACATATTGGATACTATCTCTACCAAAATCCCAACAGGGTGTTTTTTCCCTATGTTCTTGTTTTTGTTTTGCAGACATTGATGTAGAAGTGCAGGGGACCCTAGCATAGCTAGAACAATCTTGAAAAGAAATAAAGTTGCAAGATGCAAGCTTCCCAATTGGAAAATTTACTAGAAAACTATAGTAATCAAGACAGTGTGGTACTGGCATAAGAATAAATATACACATCAATGGAATAGAGTTAGTTGCTTAAATATCTCACAGAGTTTGTAGTCAGGAATAGAGAGCAGCTTAGCTGGATAGTTCTGGCTCAGTGTTTCATGAGGTTGTCATCTGAAGGCTTGACTGGATTTGGAGGTTCCTAGGGGACTCACATGCTTGGGAAGTGTTGGTGGTTGTACAGAGGCTTCACTTTCTTGCCAGGGGGTGGGTCTTTCTCCATGTGGCTGCTTTTGTGTGTTTGCCCTAGAGAGAGTGACCTAAGAGAGAGCAAGGAGGAAATCACCATGTGTCTTATGTCTTTATAAGTGACACACTACCCTTTCTGCCACATTCTATTCATTAGACGCTAGTCACTTAGTAGAGCCCACATTCAAGGGCAGGGTAGTTAGGCTTCACCTCTTGAAGGAAAGGGTATCAAAGAATTTAGAACATATTTTAAAACCACCAATGAATGCATGAACTTCTAAACTTACATATATTTCTCATAAATTTTGCAGTGTTTAACTGTTCTTCAGAGACTAGATGTTTGGCTCTCTGGTGGGAATGACCTATGTGTGTGGAACCGAAAATTAGATCTCCTATGTAAGACTAGTCACCTTTCTGATACAGGTAAAAAACAAATCAAGGTAATTGTGAACCATGAGTGACATGCTCTAAAAGACACAGAGAATCTTCAAAGAGACTTTCCATGAACAAAGGGGAGGGTACTTTTCTTTGCAGTTCTGAATATACTGGTAAAATGTAGCCATATTCTCCAGGTTGGTTAAGGGTTGTGTAAAATATATTTTCATCAAATTGGAAGGAAAAGATTCCCCTCCTTTTGGATTCCTTATCCCTTCTAACAGAATTTCTCAAAGTGGTCAGGAAACACGTTTTAATATAAGATCATCAAACTCTAAATGGAGTTTGATGAGCCTGTTGATACCTGAAAGCACTTTCATGGCTTTACAATAGCACTTTTTAAAAATGTTTGGGATCACTTGTCTTTCAATAGATTTCTAAGGATGACCTCATTTTACATTTGGTTTTACTAAAAAGTTTATTCATGAACAAACTTACTAACAAAATTCTATTTTCTCAGAATTCTGTTAACAGACATTTAAAAAAATCAATTTTGACTTCTATAGATACCAAGGATTTTAAAGAACAAAATTAAAATTTATTCAGAGTAAAAACATTTAAGTATAAATGAATAAATTTAAATGACAGTAACCGTGAAGTTATGTGATACACTATTAACTATTTTTGTTCTAAAAGTAATCAAATGAACCCATGGACATCCTATAATGAATATTATTACTTATTGAAATCTTAAAGGTAATAGGAGCTCCGTGAATTGAATAGATAGGTCATAATTGGAAATAGCTTATCTCTACATAGATATTATAAAATAGCATGAAAATAATGTGATATCTTAGCAAAATTCAATCCATACCTTATTTGGATTTACAATTTAACCTTTCAAGTCAACATTGGACCACTAGTAATCTTGTTTGAATCTAGAGTGCATATTTATGTTTACTGTTATCATGAATTATATCTATTTACATGTACATATTTCTTTCATTAGCCTGTGGTCATATGTGAATTTTACTCCATGAATAATTAGTACAGACATACCTTGGAGATAGTGCAGGTTTGATTCCAAACCACCCCAGTAAAGCGAATATTTCAATAAAGTGAGTCATGATTTTTTTGGTTTCCTAGTACATATTACAGTTACACTATACTGTAGTCTATTAAGTGTACTATAGCAGTCTGTCTAAAAAATGTATATAACTTAATTAAAAATATTTTATTGGTAAAAAATGCTAACCATCATCTAGGTTGGGGTGGCTGTGGCAATTTTTAAAAATAAGACAATGAAATTTGCCTCACCAATTGACTCATTTTGTGAACGATTTCTCTGTAGCACACAATGCTGTTTGATAGCATTTTATTTACAGTAGAATTTCTTTCAAAATTGGAGTCAATCCTCTCAAGTTCTGCCAACACTTTATCAACTAAGTTTATGTAATATTTTAAATTTTTTTGTGGTTATTCAACAGTCTTCACAACATTTTCACCAGGAGTAGATTCCATCTCAAGAAACCACTTTTTTTTCCTCATCTGTAAGAAACAACTCATCTGTTTAAGTCTTATCATGAGATTCAGCAATTCAGTCACATCTTCAGGCTCCACTTCTAATTCTAGATCTCTTGTAATTTCTGCCACATCTGTAGTTACTTCCTCCACTGAAGTCTTGAACCACTCAGTCGTCTATGAGGGTTGGAATCAGCTTCTTCCAAACTCCTGTTAATGTTGATATTTTGACCTCTTACCATGAATCATGAATATTGTTAGTGGCATCTAGAATGGTGCATCCTTTCCAGAAGATTTTCAGTTATTTTGCTCAAGATCCATAAGAGGAATTACTAGCTATGGCAGCTCTAGTCTTACAAAATGTATTTCTTAACTTATAAGATTTGAAAGTCCAAATTACTCCTTGATCCATGGGCTGCAGAATGGATGTTGTGTTAGCAGCCATGAAAACAATATTAATCTTGTACATCTTCCATCAGAGTTCTTGGTTGCCAGGTGCATTGTCAATGAGCATTTATATTTTTTCTAGGTCTCAACAGTGGGCTTAGAATATTCAGTAAACCATGTGATAAGTAGATGTGCTGTCATCCAGACTTTGTTGTTCCATTTATGGAGCACTAGCAGAGTAGATTTAGTATAATTCTTAAGGGCCCTAGAATTTTCAGAATGGCAAATGAGCTGTGGCTTCAACTTCAACTAACTCATCAGCTGCATTAGTCCCTAACAAGAGACTCAGCCAGTTCCTCTCTAGCCATGAAAGTTCTAGATGCATCTTCCAAAAGAGGCTGTTTCATCTGCATTGCAAATCTGTTGTTTAGTAACAACCTTCTTAGCTAGATCTTTTGGATAACTTGTTGCAGCTTCTACATTAGCACTTGTTGCTTCACCTTGCATTTAAAAAATTTTTTTTTATTGATTTCAGAGAGGAAAGGAGAGGGGGAGAGAGAGAGAAACATCAATGATGAGAGAATCATTGATCGACTGCCTCGGGGATCAAGCCTGCAACCCGGGCATGTGCCCTGACAGGGAATTGAACCATTACCTCCTGGTACATAGGTCGACGCTCAACCACTGAGCCATGACAGCTGGTCATACTTCTGTTTCTATTATTTTATAAAATTATTTATAAAAATTTTTTAGCAAAGTTTTCCACATCTAGAATTCTTTTCTTCCTAACCCTCCCTGTGCTCTCCTGTCCCTTTTACTTTTTTATATTGTACTGCTAATTCCTTCCTTTTGCCCTCCTCTACAATCACCTCTTCTTCCTTATACTTGGGAAATGCATAAAATACTGTTAAAACTATGTGGAGAAAAGATTTTAGAGAGACGTACTCCCCAAACTACAAGAGTCTTTTGATGGGTGAGAGAGTAAAGTAAAGGAGTATAATATTTTCCAAATTTGAATATATGTTATAAATTACTTTTATGTAAGTTATATATATTTCATACTGGAAAAATTAACTTTAATAGTTTTTGTACTTGCACATGTGGTGATTCTGAATTTAATACTTCAATTCTTTAAGTCTTACTAACAAAAGTAATAATTATTACGTATGTTATAGAAATTAGCATATGTTATAGAAGTTATAGTTACACTATAAAAAGTTACTGAGAACTCTATATTTAAATAAACAAGTGAGCCTGGCCAGCGTGGCTCAGTGGTTGAGTGTCGACCTATGAACCAGGAGGTCACGGTTCGATTGCTGGTCAGGGCTCATGCCTGGGTTGCGGGCTCAATCCCCAGTGCGGGGCATGCAAAATGCAGCTGATCAATGATTCTCTACCATCAGTGATGTTTCTATCTCTCTCCCTCTCCCTTCCTCTTTGAAATCAATAAAAATATATTTTTTTTAAAAAATAAACAAGTGAAAGATGTTGAAATGTTGAATCTAATTAATCTAATTTTGTAAATATTAATTAAAAACATGTTATTTAAAAGCCCCTTTCTTAGCTGTTGACTGCTGGCTAACTCATTTACTGCCAGGGAACCCACTCAGGATTCTTAAATTTAAAGTAAGGAAAATGCCAATTTTATATCTCCTTTGAGCTAGGTATATTGTAAATGGTGAGGGTGATTATCTTAAGGGATCCCTGGTAAATAAGTTTACCATAATGTTCAAAGAGTATATCCTACCCTTACTAGATCAGTAGTCTTCCAAAGGCCTCACCAGTTTTTCACAAAATCATTTTCTGTGTATAAGCAAGCAAGTGTGATATAGAAAATTATGTGTGCTTTTTTGTGACCACTCCCTTTATTGTAAATGACTGACATAAAACTGAGAATGCTTTTGTTTTTTATGTAACCATAAAGAAAATAATTTTACCTTTGTTTTATATTTTTGAAGGGATCAGTGCTTTGATTGAAATACCTAAGAACTGTGTTGTGGCAGCAGTTGGCAAAGAACTGAGTGAGTATGACTCTTTTTTTCTTCTATTTTCAAAAAAATTTAAACGAACTTGTATACACATTTTAGAAAGACTAGTTAATATTTTATTTAAGGAACATCTGCCCCTGCCCCAGTCTTGGCCTCCTGGGATTGTTGAAGTGATATGGAGACCTAGACATTTTCATGATATTAAGTCAGTTTTTGTCCTACCCTTGTTCTAACATAGCCAGGTGGGGCAGCTAACCTCACTCCTCTTATGCCAGAGAAGACCCATAGTCCTCTCTGTTGCTGATCTGTACACATACACTTATTTGACAAAAATAAAATAAAATAAAATAAAATAACCACATAAAACAACTGTCAACATTTTGGCAACTAAAAACTTGAGTTGGGAGGGTCAAAGGAGGATTATTTGGGGAATTTACTAAGGTGGGAACTGTGGAGTTTTTGCCTCAGGAAGCCAGAATGGGGCCCATTATCTTTGGGGCAGTTTATGCCATTTCTCTTAGAGGAGTGGAATAGCAGAGGAAGGGGTAGATAGCAGAGGCCTTTTGTAAATGTATTAGTTATGAACATCTGAAGGCCACTTTCTTAGCTTTAGACTATTAGTTAACTCATTTACTATCAGGAAGCCTACAGTGAAGAAAGCCTTTTGTGCTCACTGCTTTGTGAATGGAATTTGGGTGCCAGAATTGATAGAGTAAACATGCTTCTTAAAAGCTGCTTCTTTCTTGCCCAGAAGACATTCGGTATTGCTTGTGCTACTTCTTCCAGAGACCAGCCCTGAAATTTGCTGTGACTATCAATTGGCATGTTTGCAAAACCCAATGAGATGTGAACTTAGTGGTTCTCAAACTTGAGTGTGCATTAGAATGACCTGAAGGGCTTATTACAAACACAAATTACTGGGATTTACCTCCCAGAGTAATTCAATAAGTCTAGACTGGGGCCTGAGCTCTGCATTTCTAACAGGTTCCCATCTCACTTGTGGTGTTCTCCTCAGGCTCTCATTACCTTTCTTAACTACGAATGTTGCATTAAGTCTCCTACTTACCTTTCTTCCTCTACTTTAGTGCTTGTCAAATGCCTTCTGTTCCTCTGGTTTAGCGCTTCTCATATATATATTCTTCAATAGATGCTAGAGGGATCTATCTAAAATGCAGACCACTCTCCTGCTTAAAGGCTTTGGTGGCTTCCTATTGCCTAAAGCAGTCATTTCTAGGCTCAAATTTCTGACTAGTACAAAAGTTTAGATTTTTGGAGCTCAACATAGAGTTGCCAGATTTTTATTTTGCTTAGTAAAACTAATAAACAAAAAAAAGCTATCATTTACCACTTTCATTTTGTAAAAATTACTTTTTAACAACAAAGTATGAAGAACATGATCTCAGAAAGAAGTAATAGGACTTTAAATTGAATATATTTACTTCCATGTGGCCCTTATTTTTTCTTATTTTTGCCCCAGATGAATAAAATTTTTGCCCTAGAGCAGCGGTTGCCAACCTTTTGGACCTCACAGACCACCAGTGGTCTGAGGACCACCGGCTGGCGACTGCTGCCATAGAGGACCAATGTAAGTTCATCACTACCCTGCAGGATAAAGTGCAAAGTTTTCAACATATCAAATCAGGCCCTCCAATACCTTTCTCCTCCTATATTGCTGGCTTGTCAATACTGAATTGCCTGGGATTCCCCCACCTAAGGTGTTTCTCACCTTTATGCCTTTATTTCTGCTATCACCCTGTATCAGGTTTATCCTCCTGCTCATTGTCCTCTTTGATCTGGCTAATTCCTACTTACTCTTTAAGAGCTCAGCTCCAGTATCTTTTGAGGAAGAAGGCTTGCTTACTTAATACCACCTCCCCTCCCAGAAGTTTTTCCACTGTGTTGTCATAATCTCACATCTGTCATTTCATTTACTACTTTAAAAAAAGACTTCTGTTTACTTTTGTTCTCTCCTTGCCCTCCTTTTCAGAATATGAGCTACTTGGAGACTGGAACTTTCTTATTCATCTTTCTGTTAACAGATAAGAAATTTTTATTGAATGGATGAATGAATTAGTGAATTCATTAAAACACTACTAAAAGCAACATTAATACTTCAACTGAAGTTAGAGTATCATCTAAAAAAAGAAGTGAAAGTTGATTTTATTCAGAAAGTAATTTATAAAACATAATATTCTTTAAAATGAGGTTCTGCATTTTACTTAATTTTGTCATAACATAAATATATAGTGCTATTTTTTCTTAAGGAAAAATAAATTTCATTCCTGTAAATGGGGTATCTTTTCTATTTCCAAGACCAAGCTTGTACCTATATACTTGGTTTTCAGTGTTCTATTTCAATTTCTCTCTTTCTGTGTGAAGGTTCCTTTCAACAGGAATTATAAGTTCTGTGTGCATCAGCTGCAGTGACTTTGAAGCTTTACTGGCTAAGTCAGGCTATCAGCGCTGAGACCTCATCCTGGCTCAGAAGTCTAGGATATTTTTTCTAACTAATTTTTTAGAATTTATTATTGCTTCTCTTTTGTTCTCTGATTTGTTTTATTTTCTTGAATTTATTACTTGTCTATAGAGGCCATATTTATGCTCACTAAACAGTTTCATGTTATCTTAGTACTTTGTAGTTCTTTGTAGAAACCTACTTTATAGTTTTCTTCTTTTTGTCAGTATTTCAGGTTATTATATGTTAGTTTGAGTAGACAATATATTGCTTTTTATTCCACAATCCCAATCTCAAGATCATTTGGTAGGATTTCAACTGAAATAGAGGGTTCATACAACTCTGATAGGTATGAGGAAGAATTCCCTTCGTGTTGACTGAAATACCTTTTTATTTCAACAGCCACAGTTTGAATGTAAATGGCTGCCAGGATTAAATAACCTTGCTAGAGATTTGTAGCTGGTAAAAATTGTCTAGAGACAGAATGAAATGTGGCACTGACTATTTTCCAGGGAAGAATGTGAGAAAGAAGGGAGATTAATAGTTAGCCACCACTTGGAAAGGATATGATCTCTGAGACATTCCCACTTCTAAGATATGAGTCATCTTAATCTGTGAGCATCCACAACATTGGGTAGAGTGGTGTATTGTAGCATTTAATACATCTATTATAAGCTTGTTTATAGGTCTCCCTACCACTGTAGACTATGAGTGGTTCAGGGCAGTGACTAGGCCTTATTCACATTAGAGATCTAATTTCCTGGAACATAGTAGATGTTTAGTAAATGCTTGTTGAATGAATCACTCTAGTTTATTTGATTTGGGGTTTGCTGTATTGATTAAAGTTAGGATTCACATTAGTTTAAATAAAACTATTTGTTAAAGTCAGATAACAAGTAAAGTAACCCATTGAAAATCTGTAGTCAAAAGAATTGTATGGCGCACAAAAATTATAGGCATATTATCCTCAGAGTTTATAATTTAACTAGAGGCCCAGTGCATGGATTTGTGCACTGGTGGGGTCCCTCAGCCTGGCCTGCAGGGATCAGTGGACCTCTGTGCTACCACAGCCCAGCCTTACCTGCCAGCTCGTCGGGCTCCAGCTCACTGTCTGCGTCAATCCCGCACAGCAAGTAGTGTGTGAAGCGGCAGGCAGCTGGGGAGGAGCCCAAGCCCACGTTGGGCGCCGCACTGCTCTCACTCATCCTGGCGCCACTGTACCTGCTGCTGCTGCTTGGGCGCGCAGGGGGAGTGTCTGCAGGAGAGGCTTGCACTGCTGCAGCTGCACTCACCAGCTGTCAGCCTGGCATCTGGCTCCTGTCAGCTGAGCAGTGCTCCTGCTGTGGGAGCACACTGACCACCAGAGGGCAGCTCCTGCGTTGAGCATCTGCTCCCTGGTGGTCAGTGTGCGTCACAGCAACTGGTTGTTCTGCTGTTTGGTCAATTTGCATATTACGCTTTTATTATATAGGACTAGAGGCCCGGTGCACAAACATTTGTGCACTCGGGGTGGGGGGGGGTCCCTCAGCCCGGCCTGTGCCCATTTGCAGTTCAGGACCCCTTAGGGGATGTCCACCTGTCGACTTAGGCCCACTCCCCAGGGATCAGGCCTAAGCTTGCAGTCAGACATCCTTCTGGCAGCCAGGGAGCCCTCAGGGGATGTCCGACTAATGGCTTAGGCCCCCAAGGGAGCTGTGATGAGGAAGCTGGGGTGACAGAGGAGCCACGCTGTCCCGCCCCGCTGCCCCGGGTTGGGTCACACACGGGATGCCCGGATGGCGGCCAGGCGGGCCGGCCGATCGCTGCTGCACC